GTGTAACGGTGGAGGTCGCGGAGTTCTGGGAAGGGCTTGGCGGGCGACCAAAGTGGTAGAGCGGTGACGTCGGCGAGAGAGAAAGCGGATGCAAAGAAAGAAGGAAGGATGGAGACGCGGGATCCGGGTGGGGTTTTGGGTGTGCTAGGGGTGTCGGAGTCCTGCGTGGCTGGTGTTCGGACTCCCGCAAAATCCTCTGACTGCATCCAATTTGCAAGGAAATAGATGTCTGAACTGGTTCACGGACCGATGCTAGACGCGGTTTGATGCGGAGCATCCTTCGACCATCACCATGGATGTCACACCGCCACCGCAAGCACGGAGAGGACCTACAACGAGAGCTCGCGCACGCGCCATCAGAACCGAGGTGAACTCTTTCCTCTTCGAGTTTCTTTGGGATTCACATGAGAGTCGGACTCTACCTCATATGGAAACGTTGTGCATGCTTAGGTACTTCGAAGATCGTCACGAGAAAGCACGGAGGGATCACCAAGTTCACCGGAGACCTACGCAGGAGGTGGAGAAGAACGAGAAGAATGAGGAAAGGAGCAAGGGGCGAAACCCTCTGGACACCCCGGGTGCCCGGCCCCCCCCAACACCGGGTGCCCGCTCCCCCCAACACCGGGTGCCCGGCCCCCTCCCCTGGGCGCTGCTACGCCGGCCCCGGGTGCCCGGGCCCCTAGCCCAGCCGCCTGCCACCCGCCCGGGTGCCTGGGACTTGGCCTCCCGGGTGCCCGGCCCTCGCCCGCCTGCCGCTGGGTGCCACCCCGGGTGCCCGGGCTCTAGGCCCCGGGTGCTCGACCACACCCCAGCCGGCCTCCTGCTGTACCCCCGGGTGCCCGGCCTCTCCCAGCCGCGCCCCTGAGTAGGCCGGGTGCCCAGCCCCAAGTGCGCGGGTGCCCGGACCCCTCCGGAACAGCCCGTGTCCTTTTGGGTTTTTGCCCATGTATTCTCTTTTCCCCCTCCTAGTTCGTCCCTAGACTATATAAGGGCATCTCCTAGGTCATTTGTAGGATAGCAAAGTATTTGATAGACATTTGTGAGCTTTGCTCCATGGATCCACTCCGCTAGGAGATCAAGACCTCCTCTTGGAGTGACCAAACATCAAGACCTCCTCCTTGGGGAAGGATCCCCATCATAGGATCATCAAGCCCTCATCTCCTTCATAGGATTTGGGATGAACTCTACCATGTATCTTATTTCCCTTTGATTGTTCATGTATCTTGTGGATCTTGTGTGTTTGTTGGTCTAGTGGATGTGTGATTTGGACTTGTTCTTGAGTGTTCCTCTTGTTTTCCCTTTTGTGTTCATCTTGTTCTTGGGGATTCTCCCTTCAATTCGTGAAAGATCTTCACTTAGGGTTCCACCCTACAACATCTTGCTATCAGAGCCGTGGTTTCTCACGAAATTGGAGCCCCCCATCTTGTTTTCTAGCCTAATTTTGTGTGTTGATCTTGTTCTTGAGGATTTCCCCTCCAATTCGTGAAAGATCTTCACTTAGAGTTCCACCCTATAACATCTTGGTATCAGAGCCCCAAAAATAGCCCCTTTTTTGTGATTTGTTGGTTTGATGAGATTTTGTTGGAATTGATCCATGGATTTGCTTGGTTTCAAGTGGATCTAGCATCCCCCCATCCATCTCCACCTTTCCCTCCACGAAATCCACCAATTTCTTGCATCTTCCCACGAATTTCCGTCCAAATCCGTCAGCCCCGGGCACCCGCACCCCCGGGTTGTTTGCCCCTGACCACCCCGGGTGCCCGCACCCCCAAACCCCGGGTGCCTGCACCCCCCGAATCAGCCCAACACCACTCACCTTTTCGGCCATAACTTTCGCTCCCGGAGTCCGATTTTGACGTTCTTTAGCTCATTGAGTAGCTATTGACATCCCCCATCCATCTAGATAGGTTCCAACATCATTTGACTCCATCAAAAATTTGGCACTTTGGCATCCTTGCATAGACCATCCACCATATCATCCGCAAAACCACCATAACTTTCCGCAACCTAACCCATTTTTGCTCCATATAGCATTTGTGGTTGCTTGAGTGGTGAATTGAGTCTCCTAAGGTGTTTCGGCTACTTAGGGACGGTTGCTTCGTCATCAACCACCACCACCACTTCCGCATTGCTAACTCCGGAACCACCAACGCTTTCCGCTACCACCATTCGACATTTTCCTTGAGATTTTGAGTTCGCGGTTTTTTACCGTTTCCTAAGGTGTTTCAGCTACTTAGGGACGGGTCTACATCATCTTGGTATCTACATCAAGAACACCGCCACTCATCATCGCCGCGAGGTCGTCATCGACATTGACCACTTCACCAATTTGACACCCTAACCGTAAGCAAGAACGGTACCCTCTATATCATCTTGGTATTGTGGTATCCTATCATTGTACATTCTTGCCATTACATTGTTAACCCCTTAGCCCATTTCGCGTCACTTGCCTATAGAGACCAGCCATTTGAGTATTGCCGACAACGTTACTTGTGCACATTAGTGATCCGTACCTTCCATTGCATACATACCATATCATATTGGTATCATCTTGGTATCATCATATCATCCCTTGTGTCACAAGATCGTTCCCGCATATACACAATTGCTATCTTGGTTTGTGCATTTTGCATAAGTGGCCATATAAAAAAAAGAGAATAAGCTTTTAAGCAAAAGGAAAAGAGAGCAAAGAGCTCGTGAGCAAGAGCCATAGCATCATATCACATTGCACATAAGATTGTCATATCCGATCATCTTGGATCACCTTGAGAAGAACATCGGGAACATCATACACATAACATACTTGGGATAGAAAGCTCATACATTTTGCATCTTATAGGTTGTGCACAAGTGTCGTATCCGCCTATTGAGCAATCGTGCTAGCGTCTCTCTTGAGTTGTGCAACACGAGCTTTTTCCGTGGATTCCATTTTGTGCTCATTCCTTGGTTGCACGACCCCATTTATCTATCCGTGTGTGTGTTTCCGTGTGCCACATATTGCTATTGGTCTACTTGTTTCACCTGCGAATTTGTGAATCTTTTCCAACATTATTGACTCTTGCTAACATTTTGCATCAAATTTTTGTGCCACTATCCTCACTGAGATCCACCATAAGCTTTACTTGATAGGTGTGAGTGAACAAGTCCGATACCAATTCCACTATTCTTTCATCTCACATTGAGTGAAACGGCATACATCCTCAACTTTGGGAAAAGGTAACTTGGTATTGTTTATCTCATTTCCTACTCACCTCTACTCGAGTCTTGTGATGGATAGGCAAGGCATTTCATCTCTGGCCTTCCACGACAACGATAGCATGAACAACTAAATCACCAAAATGCCCATCTTCGGACTACAACGAGCAACGCGAGGCATTGAGCGACTCACCGCCGACATTCATCAACTTGAAGCACGGACAAGAGACTACCTCGACACCAAGTTGGCCGAACAGAGGGATCAAGTACGCGACA